TTGTAATTCCCTCCATCCATGATCCATGTCTTAGGTATCATGTTCCTCGGTCGTGGTTGAAATCTCCCCAGAATGTGTTGGTAGTTTTCGAGGAAATTGATGGAGATGCTTCAAAGATTTCTCTTGTTCAAAGATCAGTTACATAAAACATATAGAGATCAAAAGTAAAGGGCCTCTCTCTCTCTCTCTCTCTCTCTCTCTCTCGCCATATGTATGTCTGTATTATATAAGTATTTTACAAATAATTGGTGAGATTATGTGTGTGTGTGTGTTTATGAGCTCTGGTTTGTAATCATCCATGAAGATTTAATCTGTTGTGTCAAAAGCATCTTACTTACTTTGTAACCAATGGAATTATGAAATCATAGTTTGTCATAAATGAGAATAATTATTATTATTACTAGGTAAAATTGACCTTAATATCATGATCTTTTCGACATTACAATTTAGAGGGGTGTATTCAATTAGAACTCTTAGAGACTTTTTAAATTTCTTTAAAATGGATGACTTTTGCAAACTTTAAACAACTTTTAATGACTTGTGGACTTGTTATGGAGACTTTTTAAGACTTTCAACGTGAAAATTTTGAGACTTTATAATACTTTTACATAATTATTAATTTTTTTTTTTTCCAAATCGATAGATTATATTATAAATCAAAATACACAAATGTGCGAATACACAACAGCCAACGGCTGAATACATAGCAGCCAACAACTAAAAAAGTAGGAGGACAGGTCAGAAGACCGCCTAGAGTCCCGACTAGAAACGCTAGCATAAAGCTCGCAACTAAACTAATCAACTAAACCAACTAAAACAACTCGAACAACTAAAACAACTAAAAAGACCGCAACATAATAATTAAATTTGTATTGCTCATAAAAAATAAATATGTGCATAATAACTAATATCAATAAAGTCAAATTAATAATTAAGAAGGCAGCCTTATTTTCTATATTTTACATTTTCCACCAAATAACACAACACATGTTAAACCTTAAAAAAAAAATAAAAAAAAAATAAAAAGAAAAAAACTAGGCACCACAAACCTCCATCCTCAAATCTAAATTCACCTTGCACTAGAAAATACATCATACAACATGACTATAAATCCCCAAAAATAAACAACTTCAAAAGATTAATCTCTATGCTAGGCAATATATCAGCTCTAATCTCATCCTCACATCCTTTGTATACTACTTGTGGCCACATGATCATACCTCTCATTAGCCCAAAACATACAAAAAGCGACAGGGAAAAAAAAAAGTCGGCTCACTTGTCATCGCCAACACAATAGCCCAATGCAAAAGGTATAACCTTCTTCCGTTTTATTTTTCTGGTGCCAAGTACTCGAATGATTTATCCCGGCGACAGGAAGCAAAATATAAGAAATCGAGCACATAACATTTGACTTGTGAAACATCCCGCCTTTTTGAGTATACAGAAACACTAACTGCGCTTTGATATCAAACTGAAATATCCTGCCTTTTCTAGCTTGAAAAAGAATGCGCTATTTGGTTTAAAAAATACTAAAGTTTCTTGCAGGATGTTACTAAAACTTTCTTATATTAACTTATTTAGACATACTCAAAACATGCGACCGAATCAATCCACTATGGAGATAATGGTTTTACACATGCAAGTCTGAAAATATCATACTGGTCTGGTCAAGCGGAAGCTTAAAACTGAAACTGAAAAAAATACATGCACATATTATTACATGCTCATGAATATAGGACATAAAATGCGTGTAAAAATGTCCTTTAGCTCATGACCACATCCATCACGTCTGCTCACCCGGCACGCTGGACTCCGTCACCTAAAAAGATAGAGTAGTGGGGGCGTGAGCACAAAGAACTCAACAGTGCTCCGCAGAAATCAGTACTGAATAAGACAACATCAATAATGTTCATGACTAAAGTATATATGAGTTGAACTGTAAACTTTTCATTAACTTTAAGTGTGGTCAAAAGACCCTTCGGCCCTCGGCCGCTCATGTGCACACCCCGATTGGAATATTAAGGCTAGCATAGCCTCCATCGAGACCCAGGTGAAACATTAAGGCCTGCTCAGCCTCCAATCCTGGGTGATATAACTTTCTCGTACATACCTCAAACTGGGTAAAGTAATTAAAGACGATGTGGAACCCAGTACATGACCCCCACCTGATAAGCTTAGAAAAATATGCAAGTGATGTGGATGCTCGTAGCTGACAGAGGCTCGACTCTATCCAAGCTACCAAAATATTCAAGCAAACATATCATACTTAGAAATACTAATTGAGGGATAATCACTCAAGTCCAAGCATGTCAACTTAATTTAACAAAATAAGCTAAGGGAACCCTTCAAACTTAATAATTTTTATAAAATCACATATAACTCCAAAAATTATCAGACTTAGCAGTTATACTTCACTTACTCGTGCATTTCTAGTTAAAATTCAACTCATTTTCATGTCACTAGGTCAGTCAACTATTAGCTTCAAATTTACACTTAAACATGCATACTATCCGCATATCTTCTAAGATTTTTCTAAAATTTCACACTTAATAAATGAGGCAAAAAATTGGCATGCATAATCACGACTCATGTAAGACATGCTCATAAAATATTCACATCATTTTCATGCTTGTGGAATGAGTAAATCTGCAACTAACATCATCTTGACATGCGTTGAGTCTAACATTTTTAACTCACACATTTCTTAACATATATGTTTGAAAATGGACAACATACTCTCAACATATAGGTAGACATGACATAAAAATTTCACACTAATATCATGCATGTAGGTTGAGGTAATCGAGTTCAAAGACGCAGTTGAAACAAGGCATTAAAAGCTCGATTTGCATGTATAACTTTAAAAACTTGTATCTTGATCTATACTTGATCAAATGACATGATTTTATCACATATAGGCTCAACAATTACACAAGGAATATCCATAATAAGCTCAACATAGCAGTTTATTCATAACATGCTCAAATTCAAATAGAAACATCAACTAGAAAGCATGCATGCGAATTGGTAGAGCCTAACTTCTTGCATGGATATAAACTCTTAAAAGCTGGAACTTAAGCACATTATAACCCATATGAAAACAAATATTCTCAACCAATAGCATGTACAAAAGTGAGTCTCTTACCTTCTTCAAAGGAACAAGAAAAATGAAGGAAGAAGATGACTCGGGGCTTGGTGCGGTCAACTCCTATGCTCTCGGCTTTGCTCTCTTGTGGGAGAGAGTTTGGGCGATTTTTAATAATTATTAGGAGGGTGAAAATTCTGAGGAAAATAGGGTGAATAATACATGTTGTGGTCTTATAAAAAGGGTGTTAGGATGGTCAAACCAAGAGAAGAGCATGTGGGGGGACAAGATGCCTTCTCTTCCCAAGGTTTATCATGGCTTGATCAAAGATGCTTTGCACATGGTGGAGGAACCTTGAGAGCATTAAGGGCTGATATTGATCTGGCCGAATGAATCATAAGAGTGGGGGACAAGTCCTTACAACACATGAATAAACTATTCCATGCCCATGTATGAATTCTTAGCATATAATAATTATAATCAAGCTTAATTCTTGTTTAAGACTTTGTTAAGCTTAATACACTTTATGTCCAGCCACTTAGACACGTTTAGGACCATATTTTAGGAGAAAAAAGGCTAAGGTGGCTCAAGGGTTCGGTTACTCGGCTAAGTGCCGCGCTCGCGGGGCTTTGCTCGCCCTCGATTCCTTCGGCGCTCGAGGCCACTTCTAAGGCCGAGAGGCTTCTTAAGGACCCTAAGGCAGTGGGTTAAGGGTCTAAGGTGGTTCGGGGCTTGTCTTACCGGCGCCTTCGAAAGTTTGGCTATGGTTACGGTTCGAACGAATGATATAAAACGAATTATAAACCGAGGCGACACATTAAAACAAACACTTAAGGAACATAAAAATACTTAGGAAATTAATAGCATTTAGTCGAACAACTTGAACAATGCAAAACGATTTTGATTTTAGTTTAGAGTAGAGCAAAGTGAATGGATTCTATTTACTAACTGAACGGGGCGTTACAGAAGATGTTGCATTCCATCAACATTAGCGTATGAACACAAATGCATATATGCGGGTGCTTGTTGGAGAACAAGTTTACTGAACACGACCCGATGAAATTTCTTAACTAGAAGTTTTTAACTGTCGAATAAGAATTTTCATGTTGTAATAGTACATGACTGATCCTCTGACTTGAAGCACGATAGTAATCTTGTGCATGTTGTGCTTTACTTTGGTTTATCCTTTGATTACTGGACAATCATAAAAAAGATATTTTGGGTACTGTATTAATATGTATGAAGATTTATCTGTGACTAACAAAGAATTCGACACTTATATGAATAAGTAAATTTTCTATGTTTTTCATAGTTTAATTGTGATTCAAAGACCTTGGCCAAGGCGGAATGAATATGGATTCATAAAGGAATCACTAAACTTGAAATAGAATCATAGTTATTAAATTAATTAAGTTTCGACTTATAAATCCATGCCCAATAATGCAAGTGTAAGCGTCCGGGTCCGGTTTGGAGTAGATCAGTTCTTGTCCTTGCCGGTAGAACGCTGGAAACCTGCAAATAACTCTCACACCGGGGGTTGTGTCCAGTGAAGAGCCTCCGATGCTTAAGTCAGTATGTGTATGAATATACTGGAGTTGAGTAATGAATAAAATGTGTTAAGGGAGAAAGTCTCACCCCCTTTATATAAGGGTGAGATACCTGACCTAAGAGCTGCGCAGATAAGGTGAGCTGGCTGCCCAAGCTGCCCGTCCGTACTCTGACACGCCTCGCACATGTCAGAGGTGGCGCGGGGCGTTTGGAGTTGTCAGAGGTGGTTATCACCATCACCCAATACATTGTCGACACGTGTTCCCCCAGCACATGGGGTAAATATTCTCTTGAAATTTCAGTTAGAGGCTCTTACGCGCGCCTGTGATACACGCGCCCACAACTAGGCCGACTGTTGGTTCCTCGAAGCGATCGACCTGTCGAGGTCGAGTAGTTTGCTCGATCATGCGTCTGGTCGATTATCTGAATATTCGATCTTCCCGCCCTTTTGGCTTGGCTTCCCCTCGGTTTAGCCTTCTCGACCGGCCAAGTAGACCGGTTTATCTTTGAGTATATAATATCCCATATAATCTAGTCCCCCCCACTCTGGTCGAGTCTAGATGACTTGATCTAAGAGTGAATTGGTATTTATCGACCTCCTTGGTGGTTCGTCATCCAATATCGACCAGCCGATAGGTTTCCCGCTCACGTTTTCAAATAATTTCCCATTAATTGCTAGAAATAAAGTCGTCTGTTCCAAGTCCTTTCTGTCGGGCCTGCTTTTCTGCCACGCGTCGCGCCTGCCGCATGTGTCAGGAGCTTTAATGATGAAACCTCTTCGTATGACGCACCCCCCTTGAGTGCTGTGCAAATTAATGCCTCCCACCGTACGATCTGGCTTTAATCCAACGGTCCTCGTCTTCCCACCCCTTAAACTTACCAAAGTATAAATTCAACACTTAGTAAATTTTAGACTTTTTCCACCTTCGCGACTTTCGAATTCCTCTGTGTCCAAACCTCTCTATGCGAAAAAACCTTCACTTTCTCGGCGATTTCTCCTGTGCTCTCTCGAACTTCCATCAATCGCTGATCCACGGTTATGAGTAAGTCTCTCCACGTTTGAATTTACGTTCTTTGTAGTTCTATTTTGTGTATTCTTGGATTTTTGATATTGGGTACCCATGATCTGTCTGTTGAGTTATTTTGAATTGGCGTGTCCTGTGTTGAATTTACGCTTGGAATACTCTTGTCTGTCTATCGAATGTTGGGGTTTTTGCTCTCTCTCCAGAACCCTAATCTTCCTTCTCCCCTCTCTCTCCCTTGTGGTGGTTTCTTTTTGATATTGTTTTCTTTGTCTTTGTTTTGATTTTCTTTTCAGACTCTGAGACCTCCTCTGATTCGGTTGAAATACTACCCTCTGCGCTCAAAGCTGTCCCTCTCTCTATCCTTCGCCCCGGCGATACAGTTCCTACCCGTGTTTTCACAGCCCGTGTCGCTCCTTCAAACTCCAGGGATACCATGGATAACGTTCCTCTCCACCGTCGTCGACCTCCCCTTGGCGCATTAGACAAGCCAGAGGAGGACGAGGTTATTTCTTCGCAGCCCACTGCTCCTCTCTCTTCGAATTCTCCACCCAAACGATCCTCGGCCAAAAAACTTTCCAAGCGCTCTTCCTCTACTTCTCTTTCTCACCCTTGGTTCAATCCTGAAAGAATCGGCCAACCTCTTAGTTGGGCGTTCCTTAGATCTTCTCCCTCTGCTAAATTCGACCATCCTCCACAGGATTGTTACACTTTCTTCGAAATCCAATTTAAGCTTGGCCTGCGTTTTCCTTTAAGCCCCGAAATACTTCGCATTTGCGAGTGGTTCTCCCTTCCTCTACATCAACTTCCTCTTAATGCCATCCGTTTCATAACTAACTTTATCATTCTCTGCCGCATCCGTCTAGGTCGATTTGACCTAGACTTCTTCCATTACTGCTATGGCCCTTCCAATCAAGGTCGAGGCCTCTACCTAAAAAGCCACAACGGTGCTCACTTTATAAATGACGTCCCCACCAATCTTCCCAAGTGGATTGATAGATTCATTTTTGTTCGACCCGATGTCCCTTTCCATTGGCCTTCCATTCCTTGGGTCAAGGAAGTCTCGCGAGAGGCAGCCTCGGCCCCTCCTACCAACCCTCTCTTCGACCAGCGGATTCACACTTGGAATTCCAAGTTCGTCGCGTCCGATACACTCCTCCAAGACGAGAACCTCCTCCATTTTGTGGTCTTCTCACCCACAAAACTCTATCTCCCCCCACCGAGGAGATTCTTGACCTCGTTCGTATTGAAAATGATCCAGGTAATTCTTGGTCCATTTGCTCGACTGTTTGCATATACGTTCTTATTTCTGTCGAAGTAAAACTGATATTTATCTTGATTTTCTTATTGTATTTGTGTAGAGGATCCTAATTTTAACATTCCTCCGAGGAAGACCCCTTTGAAGAAGAAATCGGGGACTGCCGCTGGATCGACCAGCGACAAGGCCAGGGTCGGCCAGCTCTGGTGGATCTCGACCAGAGCCGCAACAGCAGTCGCCCCCACGACAGACTCCGCCGCCTCCTCCGCAACTTCCCAAGGAAACACAACAACCACAGCCGCAGCCCCAGCAGTCGCAACAACAGCAACAACACCAACAACAGCAGCAGCTTCAACAACAACAGCAACAACACCAACAACAGCAGCAACTTCAACACCAGCGATCACGTCAAACTCCTCCACCTCCTCCTGGAAAAACCCCTCAATCTACTTCTTTCTCGGTTGTCCCGCCAAAGGCTTCGACCAACTCCAAAGTCGATGATCATCTCTCCCAGACTACCGACCACCGCCGAAAGTCCGATGGTCGACATCACAAGCCTGACAATCGCCATCAGAAGCCCGACGATCACCAACAAAAACATGATGACCGCCGTAAAAAATCTAATTCTCGAGCTCCTAGTCCCCGTGACACCACTCTCCCCAAGTCCACGGATCAAACTCCCGAGCCTAACTCGTTGTCCAAAAACAAGGCCACGGAAAAGCCCCCTCTCGATAAGCAGCCCCTCAAGACGCCATCCGCTGGCTCGACCAAGACACTGGTCGAGTCCAACAGTCAGGTTGATACAGGGCGCGAGACGGTGCTGTTGGGACATATGAGGATCTCGATATGCACAAATCACGGACAAACATTCAACATAAACCTATGCGCAGCGGATCTAAAGGTTTGATGAAGAAAACTTACTGCTTAAAATTTATGTAGATCTGGTTGGCCCGAACAGTTGACCGCAAATCAAATCTTCTTGAAATCGAACAAACTTGACCAATCCAGAAAGCTGGCGTCACGGCAAAGTCAACAGCGTTGACCGATCGGAAATCAGACGGTTCACACGCTCTCACGCACGCGAGTAAGCTCCGACAGCTGCTCCCTTCCGGCGGCGCGTGGCTACGCGTGCGGCGGCGGCTGGCAGCGATCTCGACGGTGATCTCTTCGTCTCGTCGTCCTGGTCGTCGTGGTATGGTCACTTGCTGCTTTTGGTCTCCGGTTTGAATGTATGATAGATCTTATTGGAATCCCGTATATACCTT